ATATATTTGAAGATAAGTCTTCTGCCAATATTTATATAATAGATTACACAGAAGCCTTATTCTTAAAATATATTCCTTCCCTAGGTTCGCAAAATGAATCCCCTGAGCCTCAAATAAGTGGTAAGAAAAATGACATTATCATTTGAAAAGATGCTAAAAGTGACAAACTAGCAAGACTTCTATTTAATAATATCTAGTAGTATTTTTTACTTACTTCTCAGTAGATAATTCAGATGTCTTTTTGAATTGAAGAGCTTAACCAAATAAATCTAACTTATCTGATCTTTCTCATCTGATAATTCATAGGTCTTTGCAGGTTAAAGGATCTCATCTGATAATTCAGAGATCTTTGTGAGCTGAATAGTCACAGTCTCAGCCTTATGTTTCTGCTTTATCTGGTAATTATGCGAATGAAACTTTGCAGAATATTTGGAATAATATTTGAAATAAAATCCTGAACCAGCATCGATAAGAAATCCACAACCAAGGCAGTGAATTTTTTTCATGTTTTTTTCATATAATTTCCAGTGCTTATAATATCCTTCAGGGAGCCAGCATTTATTTCCACAAGTAGTACTATCCTTCTTGATATATAAACAAATAAAGAAGGCTATAGAAGTATTTTAGGATATAAAATCCTCTTTCACTTTTAATTTCATAATAAAATATGTATTTAAATTAATCAGAATTATAATGAGATAAATTATCTTTTCATACTAATGCTATGGATATATTAGATCAACTAACAGGATGCGAGCCCAAGGGGGACCTAGAAGGATTAGGTATAGTTCATAAAAACATCTACAATCCCAAAACTAATTGTATGATAATTATAAATAGGCCAGTATATCGTAAATTACCACTCAAAAGGTATATGCATTGGAAAGAAGAAAGGTTTTTAATCCTGTCTTTATATGAATTACTGATATTAAGAAGATATCTTTCTTTCATTTTCTATCGTATTTGGGATATTGTATAAAAAAAAAGTTTACTAGTGGTGATTAACGAAAAAATCAGCCTATTACAGATTTTACTCAAAGCTAATTGACATAATCTCACTTTATGCTGACTATTAAAATTATGCTGGAGGTATGAAAAGATAAAAGCTTAGAGAAATAATGTACTTATGAAATTCTCTTATTATCAAATTTAGCTCCTTCAAAATATAAGTCAAGTGTTTTATATGATGTATTTACCAAGACAGATATTTTAAGGCTAAAGCATATATTAGCTCTAGCGCGTGTACTTTACTAAAATGTATGTTGATATAGATAATTCATTTATAGCCTTAGAATAGGGATTTCTAGCTATATTTTTTTGCATATCTTATCTACCCACAAATTTCAAATTGATGTAAAACCCTAACTAGAGCGAGAGTTATATATTTTTTTCCTTTTCTAACCCTCTAATAGTTTTTACTAACTATAGGTAAAAAAATTACAGAATATTTTTTTAAATTAAACTTTATCTCACGTAATATAATCTGAATACTACAGATTAATCTAATTATCACCATATATTCTACATGCTACTCCATATTTACTATTACAACCAAGTTCATTACAGACCACAAACTCACCAATGAAATGAGTCTCAAAAAGCTTAGCCAGTATGCGTCAGAAATACTTGAACTCTTGACAACTGGTATACTAAAGGTAGATAAAAAAAAGGTATCAGGCTCGTAATTGTCTTTAAAAAGGATATAAGTTTAGCAAAGAACAGGCATATGCATTAATTCCTCATAAGAGAGTTAGGCAAAGTAAAAGCCAAGTATCCCTAAAGAAAGGGATGGGTCAGAGGCTGAAGAAGTAAATATATGTTAAGTTTCTAATAGTGCTTATTCTGAGAAGACTATTAAAATATAGCTCAACGTATTGTTTGGGATAATCTTAATGAAAAAGATATAAAAGCAATATCTAGAACCTTAATCGAAACTGCTTCTGATTTTGTTATTACCTTATTAAGTCTCTTTAGATTTCAAAGAGAATTGCGAACCCTCAATGCTCAGAAAAAATAATCTTTGCTACCAAGATTCTGGAGATAACTAGAGTATCTAATAAAATTCAATAGGAGTATACTGAGCAACGTAAAAATGAAGGACTTAATTATCTGGACTACTTCTCATTAGAATTAGTTAAGAAACGGCTAGATTTATATGATGTGTTTAATATATCTAATAAACAGATCCTAGCTGATGTAATAATCATGTTCTGCATCTGTTCTGCTAAAATTAAAAACTTGCGCATAGCAAATAGAGGTGTAACTGGATATGCAAAAAATTGAGGCCAACAGGATATTCCTCGAGTATTTAGATTACTGAAAAAAAATAAGAAGCGAGTAAGACAATTGCTTATATAGATTCAAAAAGCAATTTCTTCTGAACAGTTAAAAGATCATAGAAAGCCTGGATCTGTATACTTAAGTTCATTTTTAAAAAAAGATGAATATATTCCTAAATCTTATGAGCCACTACTTCCTAGTTCTTTGTGCAAATTAGGGATAATATTTGTTTCTATAATGCATAGGCATAAAAATCTGTCAAAAGCCAATACTTATGCTAGTGAAGCACTTCGTCACAATCCTGATAATCATACTTCTCTATCTGATAGATATACTATAGTTAATTTCAGAAGAAGGGGTAACCTTATGATTAAGCAAACCATTCTAGATTTCTGATGAAAATTAATCATATATATATGTTAGAGGGATCCTAGAGGGATCTAGATCAGGAGAACTGATTTAGCCAAAAGCGCTTTATATCAGTTTAATATTATTTATTAATTTTATTTTTTCGTTCAAGATAAAATATACTATATATGATATATTGCAAAAATAGTAACTGATCAAAAGCATTCATCTGATAATATAGCTAGCAAGCAGGAAGTTATTAAATATACAAAGATATTAACTCAAGCATTTAGACTAAAAGAGAAAAATGCAGAAGTATATAGTGCACTTTTCAGTGAAAATAAGGTACTAAAAAAACAATTAGAAGATTATCATTCCCAATATAATCCTTTAGAAAAGAGGGTAAAAAGATTAGAAAGAGAAGTAAAATCCTTAGAGACTGAATTAGAAGATCTGAACGAATGTGTAGAACTAGACAAATGTGTAAATATAGAGACTGTAGTCAACTTAATACAAGAAATAGTTCCCTTGATAATTGCTAAAAAAGGTAAGAATTCCTTCTATTTGTTTGAGTCTTCAGAAGAATCTGATTTAGTCAAGACAATTGTGATAAGAGAAAACGAGGCTATCTCTTATAAACAATGAAGAAAAACATGACCAAAAAAGGTTAAATGGTTAGTAGTTTAAAGTAAGTTGAGCCAGAGGGATTTGAAAAATCAGGCACTTTATATGATCACTTGATTATCTTACCAAGCGTTAAATAGAGGTTTAATTTTATATTTGAATATTATATATGCTATAATAAAATAGTATTTGTGAATTATATAATCGAAGAAAAAATCCCTATTGAGGCATCAATTAATATGTCTACTAATATAAATTGTATTAGCCAAAAACATATTGGTGAATTAGAAATTACATATCACAGTGAAAGCAATAGAATTGTAACTCTGGATACATCTTATTTCACATTAGAAAAGGTCAATCTGCATATTGGTTTTGAAGATAATGAGAAGCATAAAAGTACATCTGTTAAATTCATAGTTTCTGGACCAGATTGACCTGATTATTTTTCTGACTTAGTATTAGGAGGGCCATGGTTTCGAGAAAATAGTACAACTTTAAATATATGCTATTTAAAATTATTATTAAACGATAATTTTGTGATCTCATTTAAAGAAGTAAAAAATGAATCTAATGCAGAATAACTATTATCTGAAGCAGTGATTATCAATATGCGTAATTTTGCAAAGTGTTTTAATAGCTATTTTTTTTGTTAAAGATACAGTATATATTATTTATAGTGCATAGTATGATACAATCAAGTATTTTTATTATATCAGAACTATTAGAGCAGATTCTATATTCTCTAGTAGTAGATAAGATACTGTATCCTGCTCTATTTGTATCCCAATTATGGTACAGATACAATGCTCCTATTTTATGAAAACGTGTTGAGCTAAAGGTAAAAGACTTATATTCTGAATAATCTCTTCCAAATGATTATAATTACTATACAAAGGATCACTCTTGATTAAATAAATTTATAAGGATAGAACATGCAAAGGATCTCTCAATTGAAAAAATTCATAAGGCTAGTATATAGGAAGTAAATACCAGTTTATTATTCTAATGTATCTCATCTCGAAATTTTATACTACTATTCACTTTCAGATAAAAAAATCATAAGCATTGTACATTCATGTCCAAATATAACCCATTTGAGTTTCACAAATAGCATAGGATTTAGTAATAGAGCATTAAAACTGATAGCAGGTTCATATCTGAATCTGAAGTATCTTAATCTGTATAATATTCAGTTAGGTAGCTTTACGAATTTTCATGTTTGAGAAGTAGATGATAGAAGTCTATAGAGGATCATAAAGACATGTCATAAATTAGAATATTTAAATATTACCTATCGCACAGAGATTACTGAACATTCAATTTGCGGTATTATTCATTCCTCTCTAAAGCTCCAACATCTTGACATTTCCTTTTGTGAAATTACTGATATGGCTATCAAAGAAGTTGCTATCATAATTTAAAATATATTAATTTAAGAAAGTGTTATATTAACAAAGAAGCCCTAGATTAACTAAATCCAAATGCTTATATCAAGATTTTCTGGGATCCGTTTAATAATCAAGCTGTAATAGAGTAAGTGATAAGACGGCTATATAATATCTGACATAGTGTTGATAATAATCTGAATCCAGTTCTATCTCAGTTATACCAGCATTACTCAACAATCAAGCAAAATAGTGAACTCTACCAATCTAACTAATCCAGAACAGTGACCTGATTTCTTCAGCTCAGAAGATTTTTCGCTGAGCCATAATACATATACTCCTGTACAACAAAAATAAGCAATGATTAATCTATTTTTTCGATTGAAAATATTTAATCAATCTACTAGAAAAATACCAGATGACGAGATAGATATTAAGATAGAAGAAGGTTATGATGAATTTATCAAAGAATATAGATCGAGATATGAATGGGATAATAAAGAGAATTCTGGATTTATATCAGAGTGGAAAGGATAGAATGATTTTTTTTGCGAAATCAAAATCTATTAGAATACAAAGACAGTTAGGCATTAGAGGGAGAAAGTGCTTAAGTAATTTATACATAGTCTGCCTAATGTAATAAATCCATTATTATTATTCAATGTATTTATATATTCTGATGTTTTCTATCTTCTACATATTTTGAGTTTGATAGAATTGCCATATTAATTCATATAAACTTTGATAGAAAATATGACTAGAGGATATTGAGAAATCCTGATATAGATTGCTTATTCAAGGTGAAAAATTAATAGTGAATTACTATTTAAAGGCGAAAAAATGTAATGATATCGTCAAACTCTATAAAGATTATTTTAGAAGTGAATTCTATAGTGGATTAACACAAGAAAATATGAGATGTATTGCAAAAATGATTATTATTATGAATTAGTAGAAATGCTTATTCAGGCGAAAAAAGAATCAATAACTAGTATTATAACTAGGTTTAAAGATTATATTAGTCAGTCTAATATTGCTAATCTGAATGGAATACAATACTTATTGAGAGGTATACATTGGATAACTAACCCAAGCGAAGATAGTCTAGAGCAGTAATCACCAGCTCAGAAGAATTTGCTGAGCCTCAATACATATACTCCTGTGTGATAGAAAATAGGCTAATCATACACTCAGTCTGTACAATATATTAATTTTTGCATATTGTAATAGAATTGGATTGACGAACATGACGCAGTATATTGCAGATCTAAATATCAAATATATCAGACATATTTGATATATTTGATATATTTGATATACTGGA